ACAAGGGCTGAAGTTGAGGCATCAATTCATAGCCTACCAACTAAAAAAAGCCCAGGTCCAGATGGGTTCACAGCTGAATTCTACCAGACATACAAAGAGGAGTTTGTACCACTCCTTCTGAAAATATTCCAAACGATCCAAAAAGGGGGTATCCTTCCCAAATCATTTTATGAGACCAACATCATCCTGATACCAAAACCCAGCAGACTCAACAAGAAAAGAAAAATTCAGGTCACTATCCATGATGAACATAATGCAAAAATTTTCAATAAAATAGTGGCAAACCGATTGCAACAGCACATCAAAAAGCTCATTCATCATGATCAACTAGGCTTCATCCCAGGGATGCAAGGCTGGTTCAACATAAGCAAGTCTATGAACGTAATTCACCACATAAACCATACCAAAGACAAAAACCACATGATTATCTCAATTGATGCAGAGAAGGCCTGCAACAAAATTCAACAGCCCTTCATGCTAAAAATTCTCAATAAACTAGGTATTGACGGAACATATCTCAAAATAATAAACGCTATTTATGACAAACCCACAGCCAATATCATACTGAATGGGCAAAAACTGGAAGCATTGCCTTTGAAATCTGGCACTAGACAAGGATGCCCTCTCTCACCACTCCTATTCAATATAGTATTGGAAGTTCTAGCCAGAGCAATCAGGCAAGAAAAAGATTTAAAAAAAGGGTATTCAATTAGGAAAGGAGAAAGCCAAATTGTCTCTATTTGCAGATGACATGATTGTATATTTAGGAGACCCCATCATCTCAGTCCAAAATCTCCTGAAACTGATAAGCAACTTCCGCAAAGTCTCAGGTTACAAAATCAATGTGCAGAAATCACAAGCCTTCCTATACACCAATGACAGATTTAAAGAGAGACAAATCAAGAATGAATTGCCATTCACAATTGCAACGAAGAGAATAAAATACCTAGGAATACAACTAACAAAGGATGTAAAGGACCTCTTCAAGGAGAACTACAAACCACTGCTCAAGGAAATAAGACAGGACACAAACAGATGGAAAAACCTTCCATGCTCATGGTTAGGAAGAATCAATATTGTGAAAATGGTCATATTGCTCAAAGTAATTTATAGATTCAATGCTATCCCCAACAAGCTACCTATGACCCTCTTCACAGAACTGCAAAAAAAACACCTTAAACTTCATATGAAACCAAAAGAGGGCCCGCACAGCCAAGTCAATTCTAAGCAAAAAGAACAAAGCTGGAGGCATCATGCTACCTGACTTCAAACTATACTACAAGACTACAGTAATCAAAACAGCATGGTACTGATACCAAAACAGAGATACAGACCAATGGAACAGAACAGAGGCCTCGGAGGCAACGCCACTCATCTACAACCATCTGATCTTTGACAAACCTGACAAAAACAAGCAATGGGGAAAGGATTCCCTGTTTAATAAACAGTGTTGGAAAAACTGACTAGTCATGTACAGAAAGCAGAAACTGGACCCCTTCCTGATACCTTACACTAAAATTAACTCCAGATGGATTCAAGACTTAAACATAAAACCTAACACCATAAAATCCCTAGAAGAAAACCTAGGCAAAACCATTCAGGACATAGGCATAGGCAACAACTTCATGACTAAAACACCAAAAGCATTGGCAACAAAAGCCAAAATAGACAAATGGGATCTAATTAAACTCCAGAGCTTCTGTACAGCAAAAGAAACAATCATTAGAGTGAACCAGCAGCCAACAGAATGGGAAAAAATTTTTGCAGTCTACCCATCTGACAAAGGGCTAATATCCAGAATCTACAAAGAACTAAAACAGATTTACAAGAAAAAAAACAAACAAACCCATTCAAAAGTGGGTGAAAGATGTGAACAGACACTTTTCAAAAGAAGACATATATGAGGCCAAGAAACATGAAAAAATGCTCATCATCACTGGTCATTAGGGAAATGCAAATCAAAACCACACTGAGATACCATCTCATGCCAGTTAGAATGGCAATCGTTAAAAAATCTGGAGACAGCAGATGCTGAAGGGGATGTGGAGAAATAGGAACACTTTTACACTGTTGGTGGGAGTGTAAATTAGTTCAACCATTGTGGAAGACAGTGTGGCGATTCCTCAAGGACCTAGAAGTAGAAATTCCATTTGACCCAGCAATCCCATTACTGGGTATATATATCCAAAGGACTATAAATTGTGCTATTATAAAGACACATGCACACGTATGTTCATTGCGGCACTGTTTACAATAGCAAAGACTCGAATCAACCCAAATGCCCGTCAATAATAGACTGGACAAGGAAAATGTGGCACATATACACCATGGAATGCTATGTAACCATAAAAAATGATTAGTTTGTTTCCTTTGTAGGGACATGGATGAATCTAGAAACCATCATTCTCAGCAAACTGACACAAAAGCAGAAAATCAAACACCACATGTTCTCACTCATAGGCGAGTGTTGAACAATGAGAACACATGGACACAGGGAGGGGAGCCTCACACACTGGGGTCTGTTGGCGGGGGACTAGGAGAGGAACAGCAGGGCATAGGGAGTTGGGAAGGGATAACATGGAGAGAAATGCCAGATACAGGTAATGGGGACAGAGGCAGCAAACTACATTGCCATAAATGTACCTATGCAACAATCCTGAATGTTCTGCACATGTACCCCAGAACCTAAAGTGCAATAAAATATATTTTTTAAAAAAAGAATTAATTTCTATATGTATAGATCTATCTGGGAAAAAAGTATTCCATTTTAGATCTATATACCTCCACATGTCAGGTTTTCAAAGATTCTACAAGATTTGTTTCTCAATGTTCTGTTTTACTTAGGAGTATGACTAGTAGAAAGATGCTCTGTTACTCTTTTATACAAATGAGTTCTTCTATGTACTAAGCATCTTTCTAGACACCAGGTATACAATAGAGAATAAAACAAGTACCATCCCTTACAGCTTGCTTCATTCAAGTTGCAGAGATTCCATTAATAAGCAAGTAAATATATATATAGCATCAAGGCATGCATGAGGAAAATACAACACTGAAGAAAAAGCAAGGTTAGTGGAACAGAAAGTGCTACTTTGTGGGGAGGGTACAGCTTTACAAAACTACTCAGGAAAAGCTTCATTGATAAAGGATAGTTCAACAGAACCACCAAGCAAATATGGGAATGACTACTGTGAATATCTGGAGGCCATTCTTTCATGGTGGCTCTGTTGAACTTTCATTACCAACACCAACAGGCCAGTTTATTTGGAGTGGGGTGGAAAATAGATGATCAGGAGGTAGAGAGAATTATATAGAATATTTATAGGTATGTAGGATTTTATAAGCTATTTTTAGGAATTTTCTAAGACTCTACAGGTCACTTACAAGATCTTGGTGTTGTTCTGAGTGAGATGAGAAGAGAGGCCACTGGAAAATTTGGGAACAGAGAGTAATAAAATGATCTTAGATTTTTAAAAGACCTGGCCAGTGTACTAAGAGCAGGTTGAGGAACAAGTGCACAGAAGCAGGGAGACTAGTTAGGAGACTATGTGATAAAACAGGTGGAAGATGATGGTGACTTTTGCCAGTGTGGTGAGAAGTAGTTGGATTCTGGTTGTAGGCTGAAAGGAAAGCTGACAGAATTTGATGATGACCTCTGGGACACAAAAGACAGCAGTCAAGATTTTTGGCTTGAGCAGTAGAAAAGATAGACTTGCTCTTGATAAGATGGAAATTATCTGCGGGGTAGGTTTGGGTGGGAAGATCAGGTGTTTGGTTAGATATTTCAAGTGTAAGAAACCTATTACACATAAAATTGGAGATGTTGAGTAGACTGCTGGATATTTGACCCTAGCGATCTGAGGAGAGATCATGGATGATTACTGAGGAAAGGTTTAACACTAGTGAATGACAGAGTTTAATGTGTGTAAAACTGGTTTATTACTATCAAGTACTAGAATGCTTCATACACATTAAAACACCGCTGTGTTTCCTAATCGATTTATTTTAAAATTTAAACTACAGCAAGAAAAGGCAATGAAGTGCTTAATATAACAGCTTAGGGATTATTTTAGCTATTAGTCATGTGATAAATATCAGGAAATAGGAAAGAACCTAGGTCAAACAACTACTGTAAAATATCAGGAAAATTGTATCTTCTAAATATTTGTTTTTTTTAAGGATTGGGCCTTTATAATTTTTTTCCCAATTATCCTAGGAAGTAATAAGAGAAAAAACCTAGACTGGAGTAGAAGTAAAAGAATTTGCCTGAAAAATTGTTTAACAAGTAAATTACTCATAAAAGTATTACTATGTGAAAGATACTACAAAGTGAAAGTAAATGTTGCTGATTCATTTTCCTTAGTTTATTTTTAAAATATGAGTGGTAGTATACTTTTAATGTGTTGGTTTAAAATTTACCTTTCTTTGGAGTATTTTGCATTTCATATATATTTTTGCAAATAATTCAAATTATTAACTTTGGTAAAACATGATACCTTACTGAAGAGTATGTACTTCTCATTTAAATCACAGCTAATGCTACTAAAAGTTAGTAATAATTCTCTTCATTCATTTTTAAAAATTAAACTTTTCTTTTTTTTTTTTTGAGATGGAGTTTCCCACTTGTTGCTCAGGCTGGATTGCAGTGGCACGATCTGGGATCACTCACTGCAACCTCCACCTCCTGGGTTCAAGTGATTCTCCTGCCTCAGCCTCCTGAATAGCTGGGATTAGAGGCGCCTGCCATCATGTCCAGCTAATTTTTTGTATTTTTAGCAAAGACGGGGTTTCATCATGTTGGTCAGGCTGGTCTCAAACTCCTGACCTCAGGTAATCCACCCGCCTCAGCTTCCCAAAGTGCTGAGATTACAGACATGAGCCACCACACCTGGCCTAAAAATTAAACTTTTCCTACTGGTCATGTCTAATTTTAATTAGTTTTCATAAAATCCTGATTATATGATTGAACATTTTAAACACATAAAAAAACGAAAACTCACCATGTTGCTTCTGTTTTGGGTTATACATTTTCCACCACCGAAAAATGATAAATCCATCTTGAATTCTAAGAAAGGTAGATTACAAAATTAGAATTTAAGTAATAATTAATTCTTAGTTATTGCAAAAGGCAGGGAATTCATAATGAATAAGGAAATACAGAAAATCCTCAAAAGAACAGTGGCATACATAAACACAAATCTTTTTGTGAACAAAGACTTATGAAGTATGTTTAGATCTTCTAGATAAAAAAGGAAAAGAAATTTTGCATAGCTAAAGATTCTTGACAAATAAAAGTTGTATGTATTTACCATATACAACATGTTTTGAAATATTATAGTCTTCTAATTAATGGTAACAGGAAAATGAACTACTAACAGAAATGCTTTCCTTTTTAAGTGATATTTTCTAAAAATATAAAAATTACAAATACCTAGGTCTACAGGAGAGAGGAAAAAAAAAAATATACACAATAGCCAAATCTTGAAAGGGGGAAGTTAGCACACTAAGGGGAAACTTTTAAAGATGTTCCTTTGTTTCTCATAAATAACCTAGCATCTAGTGCCCCAAAAGGATGGACTTATAGTCTCTTAGCTTTTTATTTTTCACTTTTGATTTGGAAATAATTTTAGACTAGCATAGAACTTGTCTTCTATAGGTTTAAGTGAGGTGTGAGTATTGCCAACTCTAGCACCTCTCAATTAATTCAAAACTTTGAATTCTACTTAAGTCACAAATTTTAAGAAAATCACAAAAATAGAATAGGCTTTTCTTTCAAGACTTCTCAGAAGAAGGAACATTTCAATCACATCCTTTCTTATTATATTCATAGCTGTGCTTCCTTATTAGAATAAAATTAGAGTTGCTATCAAATGCTAAACAACTCTGTAAACTTATTATCTCTAATAAGGAGCTAATGGATGACAGCTGCTAACATCTCTAAACCTTGCTATATATAACGAACAACTACTATAAACTCTATGATATAAAATGGTCAAGCAACTTAATGGTTCACTTTTTCATCTAGAAATGAATGATTATTTTTCTAGATTCATATAGAAATGATTATTCATTTCTATAAACTGCTATGTAATAAATTAATTCTTTTCTAAATTAATCCATTGACAAAAATATTTTAAAACATCAATTCACCAAGTATGATTTGCTGGAAAAAAAATTTATAGTTTTATTTGAAGAAGTAAGTAACATTAAATAAAACGTAGTATAACATTTTAACAATATTTTTGTATATATTTAACAATATATCTTGTATTAAGTATGTTTAAGATGGGTCCTTTTTAATTTTTTAATTTTGTTACCTAATAGACATGTCTTCTGTAATGTAATAGATTTCACGAACCATGACTTTTCCAGAAAGAACAGAGAAAGAGAAGGAACCTGTTACAGGAAGGAAAAAACAGCAATTAATGCAACTGTTTTAACAGACAGTAGAGTCCTTAAAGTTTAAAATAACATTAGCACTCAATTTATTCAATAAGCATCTCTTCTCACTCCCTTCCTGATATCCTTATAGCCTTACTGATTTTCCATCATTCTTTCCCCAGTAAAACAAAAAGTGCTATACACATATCATCATTATGAAGTAAGCTACTAAATAACCAGAAGAGGATTATTAGTTTAAGTAACTGCTTTGTATGAATAATTCCCTTAATTATGCACAGCCATTAAATAAACCCAAGTAGTGACTAATTCACCATTTTTCTTTAGTAATTTGAGTGACTGCAGGAACCAGCCATGGCCTAAAATTAATGAAAGACTATTTATGTTTGAGGGAAGTTTTGTGTCGATTAAGAGGTACTCAACTATTAGGCAGGGTTAGAATGGTTCTCTCTAGTCATCTCTCCCCACCCCTTTCTCCCTGGTTTAGGGCTTTCAAAGCACCCTAGCTTCCTAATACACCCTTCTACCTACTTGCAAACGTCCCACTTTTTTCGTTTCTTCCTTTTTTTTTTTTTTTTTGAAATGGAGTCTCACTCTGTCACCAGGCTGGAGTGCAGTGGCGCGATCTTGGCTCACTGCAACCTCTGCCTCCCGAATTCAAGTGATTCTCCTGCCTCAGCCTCCTGAGTAGCTAGGACTACAGGCATCCACCAACATGCCTAGCTAATTTTTTGTATTTTTAGTAGAGACAGCGTTTCACCATGTTGGCCAGGATGGTCTCGATCTCTTGACCTTGTGATCTGACCACCTCAGCCTCCCAAAGTGCTGGGATTACAGGCATGAGCCACCATGCCCAACTCAAACTTCCCACTTTTAAGTACTCAAAAAATTGAATAAAGCAGTCCGTAAAATGAAACATACAAGATGATTCCAACTTACAGATTTTAAAGTATGGGTTTTAAAAATAATAAAAACTACAATGAACATTAAACATTTTCTTTGAAAGGTGGACTCTTAAGAAATTTCTATTTCTATATTTTATACACATCCAAGTTTTTCAAATTCTTTTAACGAGCATCTTTTATAAGTTAAAAAAAAAAGGTTACTAGAAACACTTAAAGAATAATAAATAATGGGGTAAAGGACATAACCAAGTGGATATTATCATAGAGTCATGGAGTGCTGTGTCAGAGAAATTCCAGTTAGATTATTTCAACTATTAAGAAACCAAGGTAAATTTCTAATGCTACTATGTGTTCATGAAATATAAATTTATAATATACATCTGCTTTGGTTTGAATGTTTGTCTCTCCAAAACTTAAGATGAAACTTAATTCTCATTATGACAGTGTTAGATGAGTGGGGAGTCCGACTATAGTATTTCAGATGTCAGACCTTTGGGAAGTAATCAAGATTAAATGAGGCCATGATGTTGGGGCATCAGTGGCTTTACAAGAGGAAAAAGAGACCTGAACAAGCAAGCTCAGCCCCCTCACTATGTGGCACCCTGTGCCACCTCAAGACTCTGCAGTTTCCACTGGCCAGAAGGTCCTCACCAGATACACCCCCTCAACTTTGGACTTCCCAGCCTCCAGAACTGTAAGAAATAAATTACTTCTCTTTATAAATGACCTAGTCTCAGGTATTCAGTTATAGCAACAGAAAATGGTAAGACATATCAAGATTATAAGGAAGAAAAAAATTCAGTGTAACTCAAACTCACCAATATGGATATAGCCATGCTTGTATAATCTGTTAAGAACTAGTGTTAAAATAAGACCAACATTCCGGGAATTATAATACGTGAGGTAAATAATCCATCCACAGGACAAAATGGTAGCTGTTGGGAGGAAAATAAATCAGAAATAATAGGATTTACTTCTACCTAGTAATGTGTCCTCTTACAATTTAGTACATGGAATTTTAAAACCAGAGGCTGATTATAATTTATCCAACTTTCTTCCTCTTCATCATTCATTATCCAGAAAAGCATAACTTCCAATCAGAGCCATTAGAGCAATGTTTCAAGTATGGCTGCTTTCCTTTCTGTTTACTTATTACTGCTTTGTACTGTTTTAGTTATCAAACATTATGTAAAAACGTTCTGGGAGAAGAAAGCCCATATTTCTGAATATTCTGAAACACATCCACCTTTATTAGGCCAAAAAACTCATCTCATACACAAGTTCATTCCCAAGCTATTTCCTGAAACAAACTATAGTCATTTGTAAAGAAAGAAAAATAATGATTTTTTAAATCTCTGATTTAAAAAAACCTTCTGCTTTTTAAGTCTCTGATTTAAAAAAACCTTCTGCTTTTTAAAGCTGTGTTTTAAACAAATAAAAGAAGTGGACATTTAGTGTAAAGGCATATTAAATAGGCCACCTGTAACTAGATATTTTGCTGTAAAGGGTAAGACAATAAGTTATGATGAATGTCACTGAATATGTTACAGTAAATGATATTCTAAATTTGGTTTTTTCTTCAATGAAAGTGTATAGTTACTTATAAAATTCATATTCTCAAAAAATATAGTCCACGAATATACAAAAGGCAAAACACAGGAAAACATTGTTTTGATAATAAATTTGCTCTTACTTATCCTTTTCGAAAGTATAACTACTTCTAAATTATGAGAAAGTTGTGTAAAGCAACTTAACCTGTACAACCCTTTAGTAACATCATATTAAGTCCTTAACTTTTAAACCATTATGTATCATATATAAAACAAAGCGATCATTGCAAGTCAACATAAAATACTATTCCCAGGGTCGCTTAGATTGATGGTAATAGCTTTGACATACTAAGTGCTATGATTTGCCCATAAACAAAAAATATTTTGAAAAGTTAATTTGATGATATGCCATTATATCTCAAGTTTAAAGTCATTTTGTATAAATTTTTACTATAAATCATTGTATCAACAGTAGTTTGTTATATGAGTCCTTCAGAATGGAAACAGGCATTTGCTGAGAAAATATGCTTTTAGTATTAAACAAGCCAGGAATTGTAGTCTTTTCATTATAGCACGCCCTTCTACCCTCATTGTAAAACAGAGGGATTAAACAATTGCTCTGTGTTTTACTGCTTGTTACCGTTGCTGTTTTTTTCTTAAAGGAGGTATTTAGAAAGGAAAAAGTCTGAAAAATTCTAGGTAACAGGAAAGGGAACAGACACTTCACCTCTACTCATACATACTCCTACCCACATCCTTGGGTGTCATGAAAGAAGCATAAGTACGCCCTCAGGAAAAAAACCACCTGTGTAACCCATATAAAATACTTCATCTTTATGGGCCTCAATTCCCCAACAGGGAATTAAAAGGAAAAGAATAAAAACCTACCTTCATAAAGCTCCTCTAAGCATTAAGTGAGACAGCATAAGTACAAACTGGTATCTAGCACACAGAACATGCACAACAAATTATCATTACCCTTCCTTTCCTCTCTTAAATTTCCTCTCTCTTGTTTCCAATTCTTAAGCCAAAATTAAAGTCAAATACCATTCTCCCATGAATACATGCTGAGCAGAAACAGCCTACAATAATTTCTCCCTTCCCCTGTATTATTTTTGTATTTCCCCCTCTCATTCATTCATATTCATTCATTCACTCATATTTCCTATCTTCCCTCTGCTATTTAGTTTGAACTATTTGTATATACCTAGAAAACTGCTAGATTATGACAAAAAATTATTAATAGCAGATCTCACTGCCAAGTGCACAAAGAGTGAGGAAAGAGATTAAAAGATTAGGCATATAATTGTATTTTACTATAAAAATAGAATGATTTTTACAGTAAAACTGTATCTGAGGATTTATTATTTCTGTAACAAAAGTATCTGTGTGTGTGTGTGTATGTGTGTGCTGAGTTAAGAAGTAGGGGAGGTGACCTGAAACCGGAAAGAATAAGCTAAGTGCAATGTTTTTCTTCTCTTTCCACTTCCCCTAAGTCAGATGAGAAGGCAGCCTAAGAAAAAGTAGAGCATTTCAGAGCTGTTTCCAGAACAAATGTTCAAGAAATATAAATAACAATCTTCCTTCCTAAAAATAAATAAATGGTAGTGTTAGTGTTCCAACTTCAGTCAACCACTGTTTAAAATCTGGCAACTGTTAATCCATACTTAAAACACAATAAAGTAGAAGAAAAATATTCCACTTACCAACAAGGAGCCAAACAACATTGGAATTGTGTTCTGTAAGAAAATCTTCTAATTGAGTAATACTAGGGACAATACTCTCATTCTTCCTTTGATCCATTACTAAAGATTTTCCAGAACAGCAACTAAAGGCCTAAAAGAGGTAGAAGGCTATATTTAGAATCGGAGATTTATAAAATTGGAACAGAAATCCTGCAAAGAGAAAAAAAGGATGAATTTAATAAACAAAGTTAATTAAATCACCTTCCTGTTTCCTTCAATGATGAGAATGCAAAAATACGACAACAAAAATACCCACGTCTACTAACATGTAAGAGAATGGATCATATCTGTGATGTCCTGATGTCACCATTCTAAATATAAGCACTGACTAAAGTTCAATTACTATACTCTGGCTCAAAATAAGAGGAATGTGATTATTCTTTAATCAAAAACATCTCAACAATCAGAAGTATTAGCCATCCACATTAAACAAATTCATCCAGACTTGCCCCAAAAGCTACCACTTAATATTATTATATTTGTCAACTAAGTTAGAAAAATCCCTCTTAACCTCCATCACATCTATATATTCTCCATTATCCCATGGAGAAACAGTCTTCCTAGTTCAGACTCACTCTAGGTAGCTTGAACAGTAAAGAGGCCTCCTGCTATCAGATGCTTAGGATTAAGAACAATTTACTGTCAAACTGTGACCCAACTTCTGACAATTATTTGTATTATACATATGTATGTACATAGATATGTGTATATATGTATATATGCAAACACACAGTAGTAGGATGAATATGAATATTTATATGTACCAAGAATAAAAAGGAATAAATGTTCATATTTTATGATCCAAGAAACAAGAAAAATATTCCTTCAATAATATCATAGTAACATATGACTAACCCAACCTACCTATAATGAAATTATCTCATAGTAAACCAGAAAGAGCAAAAAAGTTAGATTCAATCACGAAGAGAGTTACACAGTTAATAATACTTTAAGACTAAACAGCAGAGGAGATTTTTACAGACAACTACAAAAACAGCACATTTTTTTCTGTAAGAAAGAATACAGAAGGATAACTTTCTAAATGAAATTTGGTACAGCTGACTTAACTTTCTAAATCTGTTTTCTGTTTATTCACCAAAACTCCTATCTTTGGAGATCACAAAACAAGTGTAAAAATTGAATGAGGCTGAGAACCTATAATCCCAGTGCTTTGGTTGGCAAAGGTGGGAAGAACTCTTGAGGCCAGAAGTTGGAGTCCAGCCTGGGCTGCACAGTGAGATCCCAACTCTGCCAAAAAAATTAAAATAAAAAACTAGTCAGGCATGGTGGTGTGCACCTGTAGTCCTAGCTACTCAGGGGACTGATACAGGAGGACTGCTTGAGCCCAGGAGCTAACGGTTACAGTGAGCTATGATCATGCTACTGCACTCCAGCCTGGATGAGAGAGAAAGAGAGAGTTCTCTTCATTCATTCATTCTTTCACTTACTCATAAATAAATAAACAAAAATTGGATGAGACAGCATTGCCAGACACAATCTACAACACATTATGTTTCATATTTCTACATTGTTGAAATCTTATAATTTATAGAGGCAAATTAAACATCTCAAGAAAATAATAAAGAGCTCAATAACAGAAGGTTTATTATTAATAGTGATATGAAAACCTATAGGCAAAAGAGCTAGAGAAGATTAAGAAAATGTTTTCAGTTTTCAATAATCCTTTTTTCCCACAGTGTAGAAACTGAGAAAAAAATGCTCTCATATTTTTCAAAGCTTTGAAAAATCCCCATCAACCAGCACCTTAAAATTTGGGGGCTCACTTTACAACATGATCTTTCTCTTTCTTTCCTCTTAAGTTTTTTTTTTTTTTTTTTTAATTTTTAAAAAGAAGCAAATACTTTGAAAAAAACTATCTAAAAAAAATCTAAAACCAAATATTCACTTATTATATAATGGTTTACATATCATAAAATAACATATGCATCTATTTCATACTTATTTTTACCATTCTACAGATTGCGAGCCAGTACATCACTAAGGAGGAAAAGACTGAGAAGAAGTTCCATGAGACATATGTCCTAGCATTCAGGTCTCCACATTAAAAAGGAAATCTGTTTCTAATCAAATCCAAGGGGAAAGGATCTATCCACCAAAAGGACCTCATCTAAAATAATCATGACCCACTACTGTAACAAACCATAGGTAAAAAGAATGTGGAAAGAGGTTATTAAGGCTGTAAAGACAGAACCCTACAGTATCAAACAAGTTTCAAACAATATTTCCCAAATATTAGAGTAATGCAAAGCCTTTAAGAGAAATCAACAGATAAAGGCTCAATATTTAAAAGAACATATTTTGAACAAGTACAGAAATAAAGGCTAAGATTTAATAAAGCCCCTAAAGTAAGAAGTAGATATTCTGTTATAAAGAAAACAAGGCAACACTGGACACAGAATCAAAATGAAAACGTTGTTACATGCTCAGCCACATAAAGTAGTATATCACCAATTCCTTAACAGTAAGAGACTGGAGACTCATGGTAACCTATCACAAAATCCTCATGGAGCAAATGGTGGAACAAGATACAAAGTGGTTGTTTCCTCTTTCTCTAAACTTCCTGAACAATTCAATCTAAAAGCTGTAAAGTAAAGCAGAATAAAACACGCATCTGCACATGGAGAAGAGAGAGGAGTCTCAGAGGCCTACAGCAAGATGTTGGAGCCTGATATGAATAAATGAAGTATGCACTGGCATGATGGACAGGCTTATGGAGCAGCGGCAGCACTTAAGGGTATCAAAACCAGAGTGAGATGAGGGGCATACACTTGTAGGGGAGAAGTCAGGCATAGGATGCAGGAGCCTAGGTGGAAGGAGAAAAGCAGCCACAGCCAGTAGGAGCTGGAGGTAGCACAGGAGAAGCACTCAGCTTAAGGTTTCAGAGGCTGAGAGGGAGAGCCTGAGCAGAGAGAAAAGAAAATCTACTCAGGAAGACTGCCTGGCATAAGGTGTCAGAGCCCAAGAGAAAGGTGCCATACCCAAAAGAGCTAAGTAGGGCTTCCATGCAGGAGAACAAGCTGAAAAGTATGCTGGAGCAGAAGTAGGATAAGGAGGACACACGTGGGAGATGGCCCATGCACAGTATTGGGGAGGGAGGCTAACCAAGCAAATAAACATATTAAGAATAATGGGAGCCATTATTACGATGTCTCCCTGTTGGAGATATGTAAAGGAAGAAAGTTAGAATGAAACCTAAAATGGCAGGTAAGTACTAGAGCTATGGTTTTCAAAATAAATGGCTATAAAAATAAATATAGCTGTAAATGTGTTTATGTACCGTATACGTGCATGCATATGTTCACTAACAGGTGCTAAGCAACAACACTTCAATAAAAAGGAGCAGAAAACTTTGCTTCTAAAAACCATTTTATACTAAGAGGAAACAGGGCCCCTTGAAAAACTGGCTGATTCCACAACTAAGGGAGAGAAAGTAAAGATAAGCCTTGTTTTCCAAGAAAGGAAAGACAAACTCAAAGAATGATACAAACATGTCAAAAGGACACTTAAGTCAGCTTAAAGAGGCTCCCACTGGAAAAACCCGGGACAGACTAAGCATAAAAATAATTAATAGTAATGGATTACTACCCATTTAATAAAACAGGTATCTGAGTCCATACCAATATAATCAAATTTTGATGGATAATAAAATAGTCACATCAAAATAACTCTTCCCCCACCCCCCAAAAATACTTAATGACAAAGGGGAAAAGAGGAACTTAGAGAAAGGCAAGTTAAGTGATCAATGTAAATACCAGCAGCAACAGGATAAGTCAAAACTGTGAGCCTCTTAATAGAAGAATACAGTCTCGCTTCTGTGATAGTCATGCCAAAGATGCATACAGCTTGAATCTAATCTAATCAGTGGAAGGAGATCCTGGGGGAAAATGAAGCAGCAGCAAAACCAGACTTTCACTTTTATTCTGGGCACTCACATATTGTTTGTTTTACAACTGGCAAGTAATATTTCCATAATTTAAGAAGAAAAAGACAAAGTGATATCTGGAGGACAGGATGCTGCAGTTGGGAAAAGGGCTTTTTTTTTGGTCTAAGCACACATTTCTTGGCCTCTCCTTATAACCATGGCCAAGGTTATAGATGTCTCCCAAACACAAAATTCTAACCTGGTCATCTGTCACTCTATAGTCACATCTTTCTTTCTATGGTTCTTAAACATTTGAATTTTTTAATTAAAATGTAGATACTAAGCAATATCAAACTCTGAGGCCTTCACATAAACTCAGAAATATCAGTTAATACCTAAGCAAGAATTATTTGATATGATAGCCTTGAGTGTAAAATGGAAGGAGGAATACCTACAATGTTCTAGAATTGCAGGGAGGGAAGGAGACAGCTACAAACTAGGGAATGGGTACAGAACACTAAAACAAAAGAGATTAGAGGAAGGGAAAAAGAGAAGGCAGTTATTATGGAAAAACAGTGTAATCAAAAGATGCTGCTTCGGACTATATATTGTTAAAAAAGCAGATCACTATATGGATTAAAAGCAGACTCTATACCATGCTTCACCTGGGTTTAAACGTCAGTTCTGAAATTACAGCTGTGTGATTGTGGGCAAAGTTCCTAACCTCGCTGTACTCTGTTTCCTCATATGTAAAATGAGGACACTACTAGTAGCTGTCTCATAGAGTTATATTGTGAAAATTGGTAAGTTGATATATGTAAAGCATTAGAACTTCTGGCACATCATAGACACTGCATTTTATAAATGTTTGTTATTGGCAGCCAATGCTATTGGTGTCTTGCCCAGATACTGTTGGCACTCACCTCAACACAGGAAAACTGTCATTATGAATACCTGTGACACCCTGCTGAGGTCACTTCTGACTGTAAGGACATGCTCAGCTTGCACTCCAGAGACAAGCCAGAAATGCTGGAGGGTTAATGTCGATGGGTAGGAAGCTGATGGATTAAACACTTAAACTGTCCTTGCTCTTTCTTGGCTTGAGATAACTCCGAGGGATAGTTTACTTGTTCTCCGAGAGTCCCCAATGTGAGTGAGCTCCAGATGTCCAGAGTGGTAACTGCCGGAATAATGCCCTTTATTCACTT